GGCCAGGAAGGCAGGGAGAGGGCCAGGAAAGAGGGTACTGAGGCCAGGGACGGGCAGGGGCTTGGCCTGGAGGGCATGGGCTCCAGAGGTCGCGGTAGAAGGACGGAGCCATCCGGTGACAGGAGGGGCAGGAGAAGGGTAGGAGTCGTTAGTGAGAGGTGGGCCGGGGAAGGTAGTCAGGGAAGGGGCAGAGCTAGCCGGCGAGGAGCCAGGCCAGGAAGGTGGCAGGGCCTACGCTGTGGACTAAAGGGGCAGGGCCTAGACAAGGAGACAGTCGCGGAATGGGGGTTGGGCAGGGGCATGCCCCAGTTGTAAAGTGTGGAAAGAGAGAATCCGGAGGGTGGGCCTGCGAGGATGAAGGGCCACCAGAGAGGCAGGCCCAGCCGAAATGAAAGATCAAACCCAGGACCCTGCAGGGGAGAGGGGGCGGCGGCTGGAGCTGGCTGCGGCCCCGCAAAGAGGCCTGCACCCCGAGGGCACAGGGGGACCAGCTGGAGCGGACTTCTGGTAGGAAAGGACAGAACTGGACCAAGTCTGGTGTGCGGACTGACAAGGAGAAGGGATCCGCTAAGAGGAGGAGCCTGAGAAGGGGCGGGGCCTGTTCAGGGGTGGAGCCAGCGGAACAGAGGTGGCATTTGCCGTGGATGGGGCCATCTGAGTGGGCGGAGCCTAAGTCCCCAGCAGGTCCCTGCTGAGAGGGCCGGTGGCCTTGTGACCAGGTCAGAATTACATCCTGGGATTCGTAGCTCTCTCCTGACCAGAGCATTGTGGGAAGGGCCTCTGTCCAACTTTCTTCTCTGAGACAGGAGTTGCCCAGAGATCTGCAGGCAGATCCCCTTCGAGGTGATTTCTTATTACGGCGTGGCTGCCACCTTTGTCGCCTACCGAGGGATGTGGTTCCTCCTGCCTCCATTGCCCCTGATAAGTGTGGGCCTCTCTGTTTACGGCCACCCGGGACCTGGGACCCTGCTCAGCGCCCTCTCGTTGCCTTCTGGGAAATGTAGTCCCTTCAGTATCTCTGGATGGAAGAAGGAGTGGTCCTCGCAGGGCCATCATGCCTCCACTGAATGCCGGGACCGTGATCCCCTCAGCACATCTCCACTTGCCAAGGATGAGGCCCTCTCGGGATTCTCGTTGCACGCTGGGGGGCCTCATCCCCTCAGGACAACCGCCCAAGTCTCCTACCCATATAACCACAGGCACACGCCTGGGAAGAAAGTCCGCTTCTTGTCACTGAGGACTGACTCTGTGCCAGGGCTGTTTTAGCTTCTGGGGAAGACAGTTATGAAAGGAAAAAAAAAAAAAGATACGCCCCCTGCTGTCTTATGTAGTTTGCATTCTAATGGGGAGACAGAAAGCAAATAGCAGATGCCAAAATCTGTCCTGGAGGAAAGGTAATGACTGAGGATGGGGCTCCATTCAGTAGATGGCAATCAGGGGAGGCCTCCCTGAGGAGGTGATAACCGAGCTGGACCTGACGAATGAGGAGCGGTACATCCAGCGTGAAGGAGCTGGGGGAAAGTGTGCCAGAGAGAGAGAGAGAGAGAGAGAGAGAGAGAGAGAGAAGCCAGCTACGGGCCAAGCCCTCCAAGCTGGAAGGAACTTGATGTGTTTGAGGAAGAACAAAGAGGTGGGGGGTGGTGGGGAGATGGGGGGTCAGAGAGGCCTGTTTGCGCAGGGCCTGTGGACCACAGTGAGGACTTTGGCTTTGACTAGAAGGTAGAATTATTGGAAGGTGTTCAACCCAGAAGGGATTTGATCCAACTGGTATTTTGACAAGATTGACTCTGTCTGGCTGCTGGATGGAGAATGGACTGGAAGATTGGGGGGAAAAAAAAGTGTTAGCAGAGAGGGGTCAGGAAGCTGTTATAGTTGTCTAAGCCAGAACGTGGCCAACGAGGGTTGTGATAAGGCGGCAGACCAGAACATCGGTGGAAGAACAGATGACTGGGGTTATGTTTTGAACGGAGAGCCGAGAAGACTGGAACATGGCCTGGATCGGGCAGGAGAGAAAGAGAAGGAAAGGAGAATTTAGCTTTGGGACCTGAGCCTCTGGGTGAATAAGGATAGGAAGAGAGGGAACGAGTTTGAGGCCAGGGGGAAAGAGCAAGAATTCTGGTGTTGACATGCTAATTTTGAGATGCCTCTGGGAAAGCGAAGAGGAGAGGTTGAGAAGAAAGGGGGCTAGGTCCGTCTGAAGGCCACGAGAGAGGTGGTAACTGTATAGGAGCCAGCAACGTTCCGTCCCGGGTGGTAGAACTTTCTGCGGTGATGAAGATGGTCTATATCTGCCCGGTCCAGTCTGACGGCCGCTAGCCCTGTGTGCTCTTGAGAGCTTGACGTGTGGTTAGTGCAGCCAAGGCGCTAAATGTTACTTAACTTCAATTAATTTAAATGGGCAGCAGCTATCATATTGGACAGCACGGGAGGCAGTTTTTTGGTTCTTTTTTCTTCTTTTTCCAGTGTTTAGTTTTGAGAGCGCGCGCGCGCGCGCGCGCGCGCGCCAGAATCCAAAGCAGGCTCCAGGCTCTGAGCCTGAGGCGGGGCCTGAACTCACGGAACTGTAAGATCATGACCTGAGCCAAACAACCGCCTGAGCCACCCAGGCGCCCTATGGAGACAGTATTTAAATGCGCGGGTCTGGATGAGATCGCCAGGGAGGGAGGACGAAGGGAAAAAGAGGAGACTAGGGCACTACTGCATTTAGAATACTGAGGAACTGTCCAACAAAGGAACAAGTCGTGGAGGTAGCAGGCAAAAATCAGAGAAGGGCAAATCCACCCAGCAAAGCTGCTTCCCGCTGGGAGTGACGGTACCTTCGGCACCCTCGTTGCATGCTGGGAGATGTAGTCCCTCTCGGTGGAGGCTGGGGACTGTAGTTCCCTCCCTGGATGCTGGGCGTGTCCTAGGGTGATGTGAGCTGCTGTAACAGATAAACCCCCACGTCTCGGTGGCTCAGCCCCATAGAAGGCTGTTTCTCACGCGTATAAAACTCAAACAGGTGTTCCTGACCGCAGGGGGCTCTCCTCCAAGGGATGTCTCAGGGACTCAGGCTCCTCCCTCTTGCGGCTCTGTAATCCCCGAGGACCTCAGAGCTCTCTGCTGGGGCCTCTGCCCCGGTGCTCAGGCAGGGAGGAGAGTCAGGTGCACGGGGAGGCGAGAGAGCTTTGACGGATAGGCCTAGAACTCAGTCGCGAGGCGACACCTACCCCAGGCCTAGCTCTGTGCTTCAGCAAGACAGGCAGAGGGGTCTGGTGAAGAGCTAGGCCACCGGGGTGCCCTTGTCAGCTGCCGGGAGATGAGATCCCTCTTGACCACTGGGAACCGAAGGCCCCTCAGGGACTGCTGGGAGCTGTGGCCTCCGCACGTCACGGGGCCTGACACCCCCCCTCCTCCCCGCGCAGGAGAAGGGCTCCACCTTCCTGCAGCTGGGCTCGTCCACAGAGCAGCAGCTCCAGGTAATTTTCGAGGTGCTGGAGGAGTACGACTGGACGTCCTTCGCAGCGGTGACCACGCGCGCCCCCGGCCACCGGGCCTTCCTGTCCTACATCGAGGTGCTGACGGATGGCAGCATGGTGGGCTGGGAGCACCGCGGGGCCCTGACGCTCGACCCCGGAGCGGGCGAGGCCGTGCTGGGTGCCCAGCTCCGCAGCGTCAGCGCCCAGATCCGCCTGCTCTTCTGCGCCCGCGAAGAGGCCGAGCCGGTGTTCCGGGCCGCGGAGGAGGCGGGCCTCACCGGGCCTGGCTACGTGTGGTTCATGGTGGGGCCCCAGCTGGCTGGAGGCGGCGGCTCGGGCGCCCCGGGCGAGCCCCCTCTGCTGCCAGGAGGCGCCCCACTGCCCGCCGGGCTGTTTGCAGTGCGCTCGGCCGGCTGGCGGGACGACCTGGCCCGGCGTGTGGCGGCCGGCGTGGCGGTGGTGGCCAGAGGCGCCCAGGCTCTGCTGCGTGACTACGGCTTCCTGCCCGAACTCGGCCACGACTGTCGTGCCCAGAACCGCACCCACCGCGGGGAGAGTCTACACAGGTGAGCGGGGGTTGCCTTAGGAGGGCTGTGGGAAGCCTCTAGGGCCGGACTACCCGCTCGCCGGCGGAGCAGCCTGGGACGGGTCGCGGCCCCTCTCAGAGCCCCGGTGTTCTCTTCTGTAAAGTGGACACAGTGGGGTCTCCTTCCTGGGGTTACACTAGGTAACTTGGAAAAGAAACACCCAAGACACAGTGAGTGTGTGATTACAACAGTTCGCGATTTTCAGACGATTGTTTGTTTGTTTCACAGTGTAATGTCTCTGAAATCAATATATGCCTGACGATTGACGGCTTCTCGCCGTTTAATTGGCAGTGCGTTTTTCTTTCCTTGTGGTACATAGAAATAATGATACATCTTAAGGATTTATTTATTTTTGGGAGAGAGCGCGCGAGCGGGGAAGGGGCAGAGAGGAGGGGTGGGGACAGAAGAGCTGAAGCAGGCTCTGCACGGAGAGCAGCCAGCCCGAGGCGGGGGCTCGAACTCACGAACCGTGGCAATCGTGTGGCGATCGGCCTGGGCCGGAGTTGGACGCTCAACCGACCGAGCCACTCAGGCGCCCCGAGTTACATCTTCTACTTGCGGGCACCTCAGATGTGGTGAAATGCATCCAGAGTATAAGCTGGATTTCAGTAACCAAATGGCCCCAACAATTCAGTGCCCCAAACGAGGTACAAGTTGTTCTGTCGATCCGGAAATGAGGGGCACCTGGCTGGTTCAGGCGGTAAAGAGTGCGACTCTCCACCTCTGGGTTGTAGGTTCGAGCCCCACGTGGGGAGTAGAGATCACTTAAAAATAAAATCTTAAAGGGGCGCCTGGGTGGCGGTTAGGAGTCCGATTTCGGCTCAGGTCATGATGTCACGGTCCGTGGGTTCAAGCCCCCGCATCTGGCTCTGTGCTAACAGCTCAGAGCCTGGAGCCTGCTTCGGATTCTGCGTCTCCCTCTCCCTCTGCCCCTCCCCCGCTCAGACTCTGTGTGTGTGTGTGTGTGTGTGTGTGTGTGTGTGTGTGTGTGTGTGTGT